CTTTGGGTTCATCTTGTTTGGAACTCTCTGGGCTTCCTGGATCTGGATTTCTTTCCTTCCACAGGTTAGAAAAGTTTTCAACCATTATTTCCTCAGATAAGTTTTCTTCCCCCTTCTGTGTCTCTTCCCTGTCTGGGACCCAAATAATGTGAGTATTATTGCACTTGATTTCCCAGAAGTCCCTTAAGCTATCATCACTTCAAAAGATTTATTGTTGTTTTTTTGCAGCTCCGTGTGGGTGAGCTCCTCTGCCCTGTCTTCCAGATCACTGTTTCCTCTGCTCCATCTGCTCTGCCCGTTGAACCCTGCTCGTGTTCTTTTAGTCCTTGTATTGTATTCTTCAGCTCTGTCACTTCTATTTGGTACTTTCTTATAGTTCCCATCTCCTTGTTGATGTTCTGTCCGTGCATCCAATCTTCTTCTGAGCTCATTGAGCATCGTTATGACCATTAGCTTGATCTCTTTATTGGGTAAATTACTTGTCTCCATTTTATTGTGGCCTCTTTCTAGGGTTTTATCCTGTTATTTTGTGTTATACGTATTCCTTTGCTTCCTCATTTTGCTTGACTCTGTTTCTATGTATTAGGTGAAAAGCTTTGTCTCCCAGTCTGGAAGGAGTGGCCTTCTGTGGGAGATGAGCCTTATCACTTGACCTGTCCTAGCTCTTGGTTGTCTCTGGGACCTTGGTGGTTGTCAGAGCAGCCCGATGTGTCCTCAGTGGGTCCCAGCTGGTGGGGTCTGCTGAGACCTGTGAGTGTTCTGGGGAGGGATCTCAGCCAGCTCCTGGGTTCAGGCTGATGGGAGCCAGCCCTCAGGCAGCAGCTTGTAAGGAATGCAAATATAGACAGTACTCTGGGCCTGCCGTTGTAGAGCCTGCTGGCCTCCAGACCAGGTGATCTGGAGTCGTCCCCACTGGCAGTAGTTGCAAACAATTCAGGGCCCCAGATGAGTGCATGGGCTCCTCCTGGGAGGCACTGGTGAGCTGTGCTGAGGCCAAGGGAGACTGCAAAGGTGTGTCCCATGGCCTGTTCCCTGAGATCACGTACGCAGCCTCTAGACGTGAGATGAACCTGAAGCTGCCCCTCAGGCTGAAGCTCTGTGACAAGCAGTGAGGCCTTTTTCACAAGAAGACTGGGAGTGTGTTTCAGCTCTGTTGTTTCCCAGATCCCCTCTAATATTGCACCCCATATATGGGAAGCAGCTGATCCCCAGGTTTGGGACTGCTCCCTTCCAGGAAGGGCTCTAACAGCACAGCCGGTCTCTATCACTCTGCGGGACTCTTCTCTTCTCCCCAGAAGAGACAACAACCTTTAAAACCAGAGGCAATCGAAGGATCACAACCCCTCTTATTAAAATTCCTCAGTCACGGCCTCCTTCAATGACATCAATCTCCCTGTAACACTCCTTGCCTGTGAAGAAGCCAACTGGAGATTATCGTTTGGTCCAGGACCTCCGCATAATGAATGAGGCCACTGTTCCTGTCCCCCCATCGAGCCTACCCCAGACACTACACTTTCCCAGCTCCCAGAAATCTCTGATTGCTTTAAGTCCTGGACTTAAAGGATGCTTTCCTCTGGATTCCTCTGGATGCAACTTCCCAACCTTTATTCGCCTTTGAATGGAAGTTTCCTAATGAAGCTCTTCCCACCCAGTTGACAGGACAGCCCTCCGGCAAGGTTTTCGGGGTGGCCCCCATTTGTTTGGAAGTGCCCCAGGCAAGGAGCTGCGGGATGCTGAACTCCCTGCTGGTGCCTTCATACAATATGTTGATGGTGTTCTTGTTTGTAGTCCCGCAAAGGCGGATTCTGATCACAACACTGTCCTTGTCCTTAATTTCTTAGCCCAACGGGGATATCGAGTGTCCCCACGAAACACACAAATTTCACAACAGCAGGTGTCCTATTTGGGCTACGATTTAACCCCAGCACATGGGGCACTTTCTGTAAATAGGAAAACGACTATCCTCGAACTCGGACCACCAAAGACAACAAGACAACTTGGCACTTTCCTGGGTGTGGCAGGACTCTCTCGTTCATGGCTTCCTCAGTTCAAGGTAACAGCAAAGTCCTTACATGAATCAACCAGGGGACATGATAGGGAACCTCTGGAATGGACACGAAAGGAGGACAAGGTCTTTTAGTCCGTTCAACAACTGTCTTCTGCCCCAGCCCCAGCTCTGCCTAGTGAAAAGCAGGGCCAGGCCCTCGGTACCCTCACTCAAGGACCAGGCCTACAGACCCGAATTGTTGGCTATTTCTCAAGAACTCGAGACTCAGTGGCTTTGGGCTGGCCCAAAGCTGCTTCAGGGCCGTGGCAGCTACAGCTCCGTTAGTTGAGGAGGCCTCTCAATTAACTATGGGACAAGCTCGAACAGTCACGACTCCCCATCAGGTACAAGCCGTCTTACAAACTAAGGGACATCAATGGATGACTGGAGGACGTCTAACTAAATATCGGGCCATCCTCCTAGACTCCCCTGACGCCATCCTTAGGGTCTGTCAAGATTAATCTGGCAGACATTGTGCCCGGTCCTGATTACCCTGCCCAGGATTCGAGCACATGCTCTGAAGTCATAGGACAAGGGTACTCTAGCAGGCCTGACTGCTGGACTCCCCCATGGATAACGTGGATGACACCTGCTGTGTAGACAGCAGTAGCTTCGCAGAACAGGGTACCCGTGAGGCAGGCTGCGCCATAGTAAATGCCTTCCCGTCCTCGAGGCACAAGCCCTTCCGGCCAATTCGTCCGCCCAAGAGGCTGAACTCACCGCTCTCACCCGAGCTCTTTGCCTGGCGAAGGACATGGTTCTTAATATTTACACTGACTCACAACATGCCTTCTTGGGGCTGCATGCACACGGGGCCACATGGAAGGAAAGGGGTTTACTCAACACAAAGACCTCCCCTATCGAACATGGAGCAGAGGTTTCGGCTCTTTTATTTATTTTTTTTATTTTTTCTAAAGATTTTATTTTTTTCCTTTTTCTCCCCAAAGCCCCCTGGTACATAGTTCTATATTCTTCGTTGTGGGTCCTTCTAGTTGTGGCATGTGGGACGCTGCCTCAGCGTGGTTTGATGAGCAGTGCCATGTCCACGCCCAGGATTCGAACCAGCGAAACACTGGGCTGCCTGCAGCGGAGCGCACTAACTTAACCACTCCGCCACGGGGCCAGCCCTTTGGCTCCTTTAAACTCTGTGCTTCTTCCAGAGCAAGTGGCTCTGTCCATTGCTGGGGACACCGGAAGGACTTAGCCCTTGAGAGCAAGGGGAATAACTTCACTGACTGGGAAACTAAACAGGCAGCTAAACAAAGTAGTCTTTTAAGCTGACTCCCCATTCCCCCTGCTTTGGGCCTCATTAGTCCTATTTGTACAAATGGAGAAATAACCCTGGCTCAAGAAAAGGGAAATACCCAGGAAACAAAGCAGTCTTGGCTAATTAACGATCAGGGAAAATTTTCTCACCTAAAAGCCTCCAATGGACATCAGTTAATGGAATTCATCAGGCTGCCCATTTCCGCAAACGATCTTTGACTCAACCACTTTCCAAATCCTTCGATGGCAATACTCTCCAGGCCACCATTAGGCAGCTCTGCCGCTCTTGCGCCACTTCTGCTCAAGTCAATCCAGAGCGGGCAGCTAGAGCACCTCCTCTGTTACGGCCTGTACGACGCCGGGGCCCCTATCCGGGCAAGACTGGCAAGTGGACTTTACTCAAGTGCCTCCACGTCATGGCCATAAACATCTTTCGGTGTGTGTCGATACCTTTACAGGCTGGACTTCAGCCTTTCCTTGTCGAAGTGAACGGGCAATCGCAGTAACAAAGGCCCTTCTGAGGGAGATCGTCCCACGCTTTGCCTTCCCCCGGACCTTACAGAGTGACAGCGTCCCTCTTTGTAGCTCAAATAACACAACGCGTCTCTTCAGCTTTACAAATTAAATACTCTTTGCATTCAGCCTGGCAGCCACAATCCTCTGGGAAAGTGGAGAAGGCAAACCACACTCTAAACAACATCTCTCCAAATTAAGTCTCGAAACCCGGGAAACTTGGATTACACTCTGACCTACTGGCCTCCCACGGACGAAAACGGCCCCTCAGAACAGGTTGGGGTTAGGTCCTTAGGAAATCCTTCCCATCCACCGACATAGTATTGGACTCTGATTACCACCAGCTGGCCCGATATTCCACTGAGGCCGGCCTCATACGAAAGGAACTGGATGAATGTGTTGATAATCGTGTACCCAAGGCGGAACCAGTCTGCCGATAGACCGTGCCAGGTAAATCCTAGAGATGTTACCAGCCAAGTGGGCTCGTCTGCTCACCACAAGACATGACAATAGTCAGGAGGCAAGGTGGCAGGACAGAGAGGACTTCATTACGGCTTGCTAGTGTAGGGACCTGAAATTGGCCACCCCAAGATATGTCTCTTTGGCATCAGGATTGTTTGAGGCTGATTGCTTTTGATAAACTGGAACAGGAAAGGAGGCTTTGAGGAATGGAACTTGCCCTTTGTTAGGACACCTTTACATTTGTAAGGTAAATCTCTATCTGTAAAGGTGCCTCCCTCTCTGTACCAGGAAGAAGAAAGGAGATGATCTTCTCTCTAGAAACTCTTGATCAATACCAAAGGCAAGGACTTAAATCTGCATTTTATTGTGCTTCTCTGGTAACCTCCTGTAACTGACTTCCCTCCCCCTCCCAACCTTGGCATTTCTTTAAGGATTAAGCATCTTTTCTTAGGCTAGGAACTGATTGCTGTGCTCACCTGTGACCACCCAGCTCCAGACAATAGACTTGCCTCCTGCTACGCCCACCGAGATAGCAGACCACTACCTGCTGTGTCCATCAAGTGCTGTGCCGACAGGGCAATCTTGTGACTATTGTGGGAGGGACATTTCAATCACATGTGAAACACCCTGTTTGGGGGTATATAACCACTATGTGCACCCCACTTCTTTGGTGCCCTTTCTTCCTTCAGGAAGAAAGGCCCCGGGCCATGGTTCCTCATAAATCTTTGTTTAATTTTCTCATGTGAATCTAATTCGTTCTCTGGCCAGACGAACCCCCATTTGGGAAGAGGGAATGTCTTCCTCCCCTACACTAGCAAGAAGGAAGATGGCTGACTCATGTCCAAAATAACCATCTCCCAGAACAGAGACTACAGGTGAGTTATATATGGGGCTGGTCTCCAGGTGGGGGAGGTGGCTGGGCCCTGGGTGGGGCAGACATCTGGTCCCAGTTCCTGAGAGTCCTTTGTTTCTCCGGATATGCAGCAGAGAGTGGAGCAATGCCCTATACTCTGCTCTTTCAGTTGTCATTGATGATGGCTATCAGCATGGCTCTCTGCCCAGAGGTCATGACATTCCCAGAGAGCTCAAAAGAACAAAGTTATCTTAAAGCCACTGGGAGGGGCCACCAAATCTACCGAGCACATCTGGGCTAGTGAGTCAGCGGTCCGTTAAAGTTACAATATGGTTTCTTTTCTACAATATGCCTTCCCTCATGTCAACCTTGTGTTGAGCCGGTATTAGAGACATGGTGTATTTAAAGGATTGGAAAACACATGCTGATGGGCTGAACCCAAAATGGAAAGGACCTTATCAAGTCCTTCTTTTTTTTTAACTTTTTATTTTTTTTACGATTTTACTTTTCCTTTCTCTCTCCCAAGTCCCCTGGCACATAGTTGTAAATGTTTAGTTGTGGGTCCTTCTAGTTGTGGCATGTGGGACGCCACCTCAGCATGGCCTGATGAGCGGTGCCATGTGCACACCCAGGATCCGAACTGGGGAAACCCTGGGCCGCCAAAGCAGAGCGCGTGAACTCAACCGCTCAGGCTGCCGGCGGGCACCTCAAGTCATTCTAAGGACCCTCACAGCTGTAGAGTTAACAGAGCATACTTCTTGGACTCATATTTCCCAATATGACTTCTTTATAGGACAAAGCTGATCCAGATCCTGCTGTTCAACCGGACTACTCTTGTGAAAAAACCGGTGATTTAGAACTACTTTTTAGAACAAAACGAGCCCTACCTCGATTATTTTCCTCTTATCTCCTTTTGTAATGACAGACAATTCTCTTTAAAAACGGGCTCAACATTATGCTGAGCTCCGTAGCCAAACCACGTGTTGGGTTTGCAGACCCTTGCCTCTGTCTAGGGCTTCTGGCCTCCCCTGGTGGGTCTCTCCCCTCCAGGGCACTGACTGGCGTGCAATGCTTCTCTTCACTACACAAGGTATTTCTAGCTCTTCTCTTCTACAAGATTCATCTGTTACTAATCATAATGTCTCCTTGGGGCCATCCGTCTCTGTCACCTGGGAGCTCCCTGGCCACAATCAAACCTTTTCCTTCAACTCTACTGCCCACATACTAACTAGACTTGCCTGGTCGCAGGGGGATCATAGACGAGTTCTGAAGGTAAATCCCCCACCCATCGATACACACAGGATGGACTATAGCAAATTTGGGACGAATATACTTGGCTCACTCTTACTAGTGGTCACCTCAGTCAAAAGGCCACTCTGTGTTGGGAACAAACCAATCAGACTTGTGATACTTCGTGTAATAGCACCTGACCTATGGGACAAATTCCCCGTTATGTGTATTCTCATATCATAGCCTTAAAAAATGCTGATTGGTTTGGGACCGACTGGGACAGAACGGCCCAGCACACGTTGGCTACCCCCTAACGGCACTCGGTGGTTATGTGGCTCCAACTTATGGCCTTGGCTGCCTCCTGGATGGACTGGACGATGCACCCTAGGCTTCATCTGGATGCAAGGAAGAACTCCATTTACTATATCTCCCCTGCTGACCTACCCACCCTGCAACAGCGCTGGACCCGCTCTGGCTTCCACTGGGATGATCCCCTTGCCTCAATTTTCCTTCCCCAATTAGGAATCAAAAGTGTCATCTGGCACCTGGAAGCCCTAAACAAATTTACCACAAAGGCATTGAATGATACACAACATAGCCCTTCGCTGCTGGATTTAGAAGTATCCCAAATGTGTAAGGGGGTCCTGCAAAACCCAATGGCACTGGAGGTCTTGACAGCAGCACAGGGGGGCACTTGTGCCATTATAAAAATCGAATGTTGTCTATATCCCTGACTACCATCAAAATATCTCTGGCTTCCTATCTGAGATGAGCCACCAAATTAAATCCATGCCCGACCCACCCCATCCCCAAACGATTGGTTGGACTCCTGGTCAGGTCCAGGCCCCTGGACTACTATCAAAGCCTTATTCACTGGGTTGATCATACTGCTTGTATTTCTTATCATAATTTGTTTTCTATTTCATTGTTTGTCTTGCGCATGTCAACAAAATTTCGCCTCCTGAAGCACTTCTCATCAAATGATTCTCTGAGAGCATCTGCATACCTTGTCTGCCTTAGACTCCATGGGCACAACCTTCCGGTCCACTGAACTTCCTGCCTGTACCCCTGTGGCCCCATTTAGGGACAGCTCTGCGACCTCGTACAGCTGGAAGTAGTCACAGAAGATTGACCACCCTCTCTGTCCCCAAAAGATTTCAGGGGCAAATGGGCTCAAGGGGAATTTTATGATGTGGATCAAGGCTCCCCAGGGAGAGAAGCCCAAGGCATCCTGGCCCACATGCCAATTGAAACGAGCCTCTGGGAAGTATAGGGCGTCCTGACCTCATTCATATCTAACGTTATACGACCACACGATAACCAGACCCCACCTGCACTGACACCATTTTAACAGCTTTTTAAACATGATCTTACCTTTGTCTCTTAAAAAACAACGCACTTGCCTGTGCCTTATAAATTTACCCCTATCCTCAACCCATTGCAGCTCTTCCCTGCCCAGGGGCCTGTCCCCATGGTACTCTCTGGGTAAAAGAACATGACACCAGACCTTGAGAGTCCCAGAAATCTCCCTGACTCCTGGGCTCACTGAGCTCGCATCAAATGTGATGCCTGGAGCCCGTCCTGCCTGGAGCCCACATCCCTGAGCCCCTCCTCATCGCCCCCTTTCCCTACACAGCTGCCTCGAGATTCCGTAATCCTTGAAGAGGAGTCTTTGAGAGTTAGTGACCCGTCTTCCGAATAGCCCCCTAATCTAATCTAACTAAACTTCCTTTCTCCATCTAACTCATTGGGATTAATTGGCTCAGATCGCGGAGAGCAGAGCGAGCCCGTTGCTCAGTATCAGGTAGGGGGCGGGTGTCCCAGCGTCAGCGGTCACACAGGCAATCCGAGCACGACCCAGGCTCGTATGTGGTGACATCACTGTTCCGCGTCTGTTTTTAAATGGCACCGATCCACGGTGACTCCAGCCCCAGATGGACGTCTGACCCCGGAGCTCACCAGGCCCCCTGTCCCAGCTCCAGATGGGGGCACTCCAGGGAAACTGAGTCAGGACTTCCCGGTCCAACATAAGGATGAGCTGCAGGATGAGGCCAGGTCCGCCAGCCGGCAGCGGCTTCTGCTTGGAGCCCACGACCCGAGCGGGCGGTCCCAGTCCGGGGAGGAAGCCGGGCAGGAAGCCGCCGAGGCCGAGAGCCCAGGCTTCCGCCCGGCCCTACCACGTGACCAGCGCCAGCGCCTGTCAGGCACGCCCTGGATTGTAACGCTGTCCAATCAGGGAGGACGGGGGCGGGACCATCGGGAGCGCTGCCGCGACCCGGGAGCCGCTCCATCAAGGGACAGGGTCTTGGACATCTGTCCATTCAGGACCCGGTGCGTGCCAGAACCCTGTCCAATCAGAGTGCGTGGCAGGATGAGTGACGAAAATTCCATCCAATCACCACAAAGGAGCCTGGAGCTGCGTCCACGTGACATGTGGGCGGGGGAGCTCGTGTCTTCCCGGTTGTCGCTGTCCTCCAGTGCCGTCCGCGCGCGCACCGGCCCCGCGTGGCGCCAGGAGTCCCGTCTCCGCTCTCACCTGCTGGGGCCGCGGGGCCGCGAGGAGGACACCCGGAGGGTCCGGAGCGGGCGGAGATGGTGAGTTCGCGGGCCGGGCGGAGACCGGGAGGGGCAGGTCCTAACCGGCCGGAACTGGCTGGAAGCTGCGGCCGGCCCAGGTCTCCGTGCGCGGCCCGGGGTCCCCCCGAGTCCCCAAGCTCGGGCCGCACGGTGGGTCCCGGCGGCCTGATGCGGCCCCACGTGGGGGTCCTGGTCCCACCTGAGTCCCCACTTTCGGCGCAAACAATTCGTAAGGGATCCATAGATCAAAGCTGGGGTGAGTTTGTCACCCAGATCTGAGGACCGGCCTGGGGCCCTGCGTCCCCACGAAGGACGGACACCAAAGAAGTGAGTGTGCACAGTGGTCATATACGTCAGAGAGCAGGTGTCACAGATGATCGGAATGTCCCTTTTACAGCGGTCACCAGGTCGCCCAGCTGGCAGAGCGATCGCACAGCAGGGAGCAGGTCTGTGGTCTCCAGCTGGGGGGTCGCAGGGTGGGCGCAGCAAGCAGTTCCTGGCCTGGGGAGAGACGCTTATCCGAGGGGGAGGTTACATCTTCCTTCATCTTCAAGGGCATTGTTCTCGTCTCTGGACGGAGAAGATGGTGAGGGCAGAAATACAGGGCGTGCTCCGTGGGCACGGCAGGCGCTTTGGGAAACAAGGTGAGGCCGAATTAGTTTTACAAGTGGCTTCCTCGTGTCCGCCAGTATAGCCTACCGCTCCCCACTTATTTATCACCGCCCAGGTCGTGGGGTGGGTCCTGACATCTTATCCCAGCCCCTTGTCGGGGGCGCTGGGTCCCACCCCAGTCCTTGGCTGGGCAGGCGTCAGAGGGGGATGGGTGGACCCCAGCTGGGCAGTCAGGGCCGAGGATCGTGGGGTTCCGTCCGGACTGGGGGCCGGAGACGCTGATCCGGAGACGGTGGGACGGGGCCGAGGGCGGGTCTCAGATGCCGCAGCCCGGAACTCACCGGAAAAGGGCTTTCCTCTGCCGGGCAGGAGGGGAGCAGGAAGACGGGTCTCAGGACCCCCGCCCCGTGGTCGCGCAGCGCGGGCTCGGGTCCAGGCCCGTCCGCATCTCAGCGCTCGTTCCGACGGGCGGGGGTCGGGCCTGCGGGGCGCGCGGAGGCCGAGAGCGTCTGGGAAGGAGGGGGCGATGGTGCGCAGGGGTCAGGCGGTGGAGACGAAGCATCCGAGCTCAGTGAGCACACTTTCCTGCCGGAGAGGGACCGCAGGGGCGGGAGGAGGGACGCGCCCGGGGCAGGGGCTCCGCGGGAGGGGGCGCTGTGGCCGGAGGACCCGCAGGAGCTGGGCGGCGTTTGTCTGGAGTGGACGGAGCAGGAGGCCGGGTGTGGGGCTGATGGCAGGTCCCCGAGAGCAGCCCGTCCTCGGAGGGGCCGTCTGCGGAGGAGAGGCTGAAGCTGCGTGGCCGACACGAGTTGGTTCTGCTCGTCGGTGGGGCCCAGCGGTTGGGCTCATCATTGCTGAGGCCCAGAGTGGGGATCTCGGGCGAGTCCTTGTTTGGTCTTGTCCGGGATAAACGGGGGCTTCCTGTGCATCTCATGGAAGTCCCATGGGGAAGAAGGGTTTCCTGCAGGCAGCATGTAAGTTTTCAGAACACAAAAGGGTGGGGGGTGGGGTTCCATTCACCTTTGATGGATGTTTTCCGATGGCTCCGGGAGGATTCAGCGTTGCCACCTGACCCCGTGGGCTCCCCCTCTGTGACCCTCCAGCACCCACAGTTTCTCCCGTTCCTTCCTCAGCTCCAGCAGCGGTGAAGGGACTGGACCCGTTTTCCCTCCTTTCTTCCCTGTCATGTGGGCGTCAGGGATCAGGTCTCTGCCCTGTTTTGCTGACTTGTGTTGTTCTGAGACTGAACCAGAGACACCGCTGGGGACAGTGTGTCCCTGCAGAGCGCGTCCTCTCTTCCAGGAGAACTGCGGGGACAGTGCACGCGGTTCCTCTCCTTCCTGTGGGTGGTGGAGTCACGGGGTAAAGAGGTTCATGAAAATCGTACAGAAACTGCCATGCAGGGGGCAGTTTGTGACACTGTGATCCTGTCTCACTTCCTGTTAATAGCTGGTCGTCAGAGGTTAATGCAGATTCTGTGACATGTGACCTGTGACCAAGACGTGTTGAGTGCTGATTCCTTGACTTAGAGTTTGTCGTCATGAGGACGATAGTGACCTCGTGTCTGTTCTCTGAGAGGGATGAGCAGTGACCAGTTACTTAAACCATAAAGTGCCCCGGAGCTTCCCTCCCCTGCTTTGTCCTTGACGCAGGGGAGCAGTGACTCTGCGGTTCCCGTTCACACACTGGGACGGGGTCTCGGTCCCATTTTAAAGTCCCACGGTGCTGGGAGCAGGTGCGTGTCCTGGGCTGGGGACACGCTGGCCTAAAGCTGGGCCTGCGTGGGAGGGGACGGAGGGAGCAGCGGGATGTCCCCCTGCGGTGACTCCAGCCCCAGACCCAGGGCGGGAGGAGCTGCAGATGCTGAGAGGAGCCACAGAGCAGGGTGGGGAGATGCCCCTGCGGGTGTGCTGGGGGCGTGGGGCGGCCCTGGGGCTGCTTCCTGGGGGTCGGCGCCGCATCGTGCATGGAGTGGGTGGAGCTGAGTGTGCTGCGCGCTGAGTGAGTCTGTGAGGGTCAGACGTGGGGCGGGCTCCCGGGGGTCCCTGCTGGTGAGAGGGTCTGTGAAAGGAGCGTCTATACGGGGCGGAGCGGGAGCTGGGAGCGGCTCCTCTTTGCTGAGAAGGAGGCCCGGGAGGAGGGGCGCGTCCGCCCTGAGGAGGAAGCAGGGGCTGAGCACAGCCCCGGGTTCTGTCCCTCCTGCCCTGGGAGGGGCCGCCTGCCCACCTCCCCGCAGGGGGACCCCGCCCAGCTCAGGAGCAGGTTCCACCTCCTGCCTTCCGTGTCCTTGTCGCTGTGGGAGCAGGTGCTGCTCTGAGCTGGCTCCCACAGTTGCCCGGGTCTAGCTCAGGGGTCAAGGGGCGGTCCCATCGTCTGGATGACCTCCTGCTACACTCCACCCTCCTGAGTGGCTCTTACAGTCCCACACGCCCCCTCTTCCCGAATGTGCATGAGACGTCACAGAGGGGTTCCCTGGCCTGGAGGTGGCCGTCTGGCTGCATCGGAGGCCACTGTCACAGCAACAGCACAGCTCCATGCAGGAGGAAACACAGCTTAAGACAGCGACTCGCAAAGTCAGCGACAGCTTTCTCCCAAAGAGCCCGGGATCCAAACCCCCGATGGCTCAGGTCCTCTGGGCCGGTGTTGGAGTGCGGGGGTGCTCCCGTGTGTCCTTGGGTAAGTTAGTGAAAGTGCCACATTAGCAGGCTCCTCAGGGGTGAGCACACAGCCTGCTGTTGGGGTCCTGGTGCTGGCGCCTCCTGGGAGGCAGTGATGCTGTCCAGCGTCGCCCTGGGACAGCCTTTCTCAGTGACCTGTCTGCTGTCAGTGAGGACAGGCTTTCCTGGCTGTCACTTAAGCTTGTTGGCTGAGTTTAGTGAGCACTGTCTGTGTGCTATAACCTCCTCTAGGCCAACGGAGGGAACAAAGACGGTGGCCAGATGATGGTCCCAGTGGGAGAAGGACGTGCCCGCCTGGCCTTGAGGATAGGGAGGTGGGCGGCTTCAGGGACTCGACCGAGCTGTCACACCGCACACGCTGGCCGGGGAGGCAGCACTGCCCGGGTGAGGAGCGGGACTGGGGGCGGATGTGCCAGTGCAGGACCCGCCTCCTCCCCTCTCTCTGTGCGTGTCCCAGGCCAGGGGGAGCGAGTGTCCACAGGTCCAGCCGGCAGCAGGAGAGTGCCGTCTCAGTGGAGGCTGAGGAGTACCCCTCACCCAGGGGCGCAATGTCACAGCCTTCCCAGGGGGTGTCCCACTGCACGTTCCAGGAGATGAGGCCTCCCCCAGGCCGGAGGGGCTTGGGGTTCTGGCAGCGCAGCGCGTGGATCCACAGTGAGAGTCAGGGCCGTGGCTGCGTCCCTCGACTTCTGTACCTTTACAGAGGGGTGTTTCAGCGGGGGTCCGCAGTCTGGCACCGGGGCAGCAGGCCCTACTGGTCGATGATTCGAGTCTGTTAAAGCCCAGGACAGGCCCTCAGTGCACCCGGCCCAGGTGGTTCCACCTGTTAATAATTTAATCTGCTGCTTGAACTTCCACTTTTCCTTTGTCCCCACGCTGCAGCCCGTGGGACCTCCACCCAGTGTCATGTTCTTCTGCCCAGTCTTGCACATCGTGACCTTTGAAATGTGACCCCAATCACTGTGTATTCAACCAGGGCACCTGTACATGTGCTCAGCTTCTCTGAGTGCATAATGGTGGCAGCCTGGTTTGCATGGTGACAGGAAAGCCTGGGTTAGGCCAGACGCAGTGTCCGCACAGACCAGGGCCTATTTAGAGCCGCCCTCCGGGGAGGGGCCAATAGAAAGGATGTGCGAATCTGCCACTGGTGGGACCTCCGGTGAATGGCCCCGGGATTCCTTTGGCAGCTGCCCTGGGCGTGGTTTAGAACACACAGGACACGCTGTGGCTGCTGCATTAACCAAGTCACTGTACTTCAAGGGCAATCCGGCATCCTTGGCAGTGTGCCATGCCACCCGGCACAGCGGTGGCTGCTCTTCCTGGGCACCCGATCTGCTGTGTCTCCTGAAGGGGCAGTTGGTGGGGCTGCACCCGGGCTGGGGCATTGG